ATTAGAAACAGACTGTGCTTCCATAACTGTATGTTCACCATAGTAACTCTTCATGCAGCCAAAGCTTATTTGCTGCAGAGCATGAAACTGAAAATCGTGTTTAACATTTGATGGTATGATCAGCAGACCTCTTTTATAGAAGGAGTAATGAAAATTCCTGTGTCATTTATTGACCAGTTACTCATCTGTAGTTTCATGGCTGGAGTCACTGAGGACCATTACAGCATCGAGGCTGACTCCCCCCAGGAAGCCCTGCCCCTGTTTGCACGTACGCACGCACACTGCCAGAGTCAATGCTACTTTTCCTATCTATACACACCAAAGGAGAGACTGCAGCTTGCACAGATGTTACTGCCTGTGGCCCGCTCCTTGAAATTTCTTGCACTCAGTCAAGGTCTTGCTCCTGCAAGGAACTCCAAATTGTGAAATTCCTATCCACATGTGAAAACTCACTAACTCAATTTCCAAAAGGCACACGTTTCTCCCATGGCTGGGCCCTATTTGGAACACCAGCAGTTTTTCCTCTTTGTTTTAATTTATTTTCTCTTTGGCACAGCAGCAGTTTTTCTCTCTTTGTTTTCATTTCTTTTCTCTTTGGCTGTCACTGGTTACTGAACTCTAAACCACGTATAATTCAAGCAAGCTGGAATGCTGAAGAAGCAAGTGCCAATACAGACGTCACAAAGGATTTGTGCATAACTGAGACCTTTCACTGCTTTTTCTTTGGACCACACCACATCTTCCCTTTTATACATGTAATTTTTTCTATTCATAATTTTTTAAACATGTAATGTATATCTATGAAATAATGATATGATATAATATATATAATGCAATTAAATACATAACAAAATACATGCTTCTTTGAAACACAATGTAAATATTATTGACACTATTAATACAGGAATTGAAAAAAGCTGATAAACATCTGCAAAAATTGAGGTGTGAAAGGAAATTATTTTTGAGACATCTCCCTTCTTTTTAAAACACTAGTCATACCTGAAGTTGGCCTGAAGTTTTAAATCTCTCACCTGTCCAGGGGTGTTTCCTGTGTGCCAGAGAGCATTTCTGAGGTGTTCACCAGTACCAGTTGTTGAATTCACTACTTTGAGCGACACACCAGAATAGCCGTAAGCCCTGGTGGGTTTGTCCTCCCAGTAGGTCTGAGTGACCTGCTTCCACATCAGAACATAAAACCGACTGCTGGACTGGTAGCCAAACACAAAGCCAGCATAGTCATCATCACGGTCTGTGTTAACATAGAACGTCCCACTGAAATCAACGGAGCTGAATTCATCGTAGCCTGGGAGAGGACAAGAGACAAACCACTGAGTTACAATGTTGGGTCTGGCTGCCCACACCCAAGAGTCCCAGGTCTATCCTGAGTTTTGCCAGGAGTCATAAACTATCTTTTTCAACTGTCTTACCTGTAGGAGAGGAGGTAATTACACTTGCCTACCTACCACATGGAGGCTTCTGGAGAGAAATATGTTGTTTACAAGTGGCATTGAAGACAGCGGGCACTATATCAAGTTTTTCAGCTGGGTATTTTATGTGTGTTACACTCAGTGATATAGTCAAAAAGCATAATTTAATTGGGCATATACACTGTTGCTGTGCATCAGTCCAAAGCTTGCAGCACCAGAAAGTGTGTTTATCTCTTTCTTTTTTTTTCCTTCCTTATCACCACATCACTGGTTACTTTTCCTAAGACAATGGCTGACATCTGATACTCACCTACGGCTATTCCAGGATCAGAGTTGGCAGTCTGCACCAGTTCCTTGCCTTGATGGCGAATAACCCAGTTGGGATCAATCTGAGCTGTTCCCTTGGGGTCCAGGGGGACCATCTGGAACTTTCTGAAATCAGTTTCACTGATGGCGTTGTTTTCAGGGCATACATCATAAATATCTGGGACGTTGTCATTGTCAAAGTCATCTTTGCAAATGTCACCTCTGCCATCACCTATAAGCAACGTAAATAAGCAAATGCAATAGTTAGCAACTTATCCAGCCTTTCTGACAGCTTGTTCACTGATGGAAGAAATTTGTGATACATATGAATATGTAATTCTCTTGTTTCTCAAAGAATGCTCCAAATGACTCCAAATAAAGCTTAATTCTCTGAATGTCTATTTGAAATGTTGCTGCTAATGACTGGAAGAAGTCATCAACTTAGATTAGGGCCAAAAGCATTGCTAATAAAACTGTCCTCTCAGTGGTTTATGACAGTGATCAATCTGGCCCCAGTCTACATGCTGCTTTAGAATCAGGGTGGGAAAGTTGGAAGTTTGCTATGTCAATGTAATTCACTAATGCTTGTATTACATTTTCAGTTTGATTTGTCCCAGATGCAGATACGACGCCACATTTTAATATGTGCAGTGTAAATTAATTCAAACAACAGTGCCAAAAAACTTAATCTTCCTGCACATTACTAAATCCTTATTTACAATTGAAGATACTAAACTTTTTTTCAGACTCCTATCTCTGTATCAAGATTCCTTCAGTAACAATCCATCTAAGGTGCTTCAGATTGCAGAAATGTCACATTTATGTAAAAAGACAGTGGGGACAGCATTACAGTAAAATATGCATACACGCTCAGTCACTCTCACTTGTGGGTAGAACAACTTGTCTTATAAAGGATGTAGCACTTCAGGAAAATATAAGAAAAATGAAAGAAGCACTGTCCAACAGGACTAGCCTTAGAAGAATGGAAATATTAAGTTTTGTTATATGAATTACAGTAAGTTTTTTAGTGAACCTAAAAATACATTCATACTCCTCAGCTACACTTGTGCGGCTGTTCAACACTTTCACTATTCAGTATTTTTTAAAAATTTAAAAGGTATTTCTTTTCTTAATTTACCCACAATATTGGTGGAAACCAGTAGATGTGACTTGCCTAGAATAGCAGGTGGTGAAAGGAGGCATCTGAAAAAAAAAAATCTCACTGACAATGCCACCATTATTCAGTGGCATGCAATAGTACAAACACTTGAAAATAAAGAAGAAAAACTTGGCTAGACAAGTACAGAAACAAACTCACAAATGGCTCTGGCTTTTACTACAGAAGCCACTGGGTATTACACTAGGTACTAATGTCAAACCAGAACTGACAGCTAATTTGTTTCTATCCTTATATAGCTGAGCATCTGGGGGTTTTTTGTTTGTTTGTTTGTTTTTTTAATTTAAGTGTTTGTGATTGTTTTAACATGGGAATTAACACATTGGGAAGCAGTAATGATCCAGCTCATTCATTATTGACCTACTACTAGATGCTTCACAGTCAAATGGAAAGCTGTGTCTAACTATGCCTAACCAGCACAGCACTATCCAAATATGAAGCTCTCAAAGAGAAAGCAGAATGAGTTTTAGGCAACAGTCAAAAAAAGAGTAGTTAGAGGAAGCTGAAGCATCTCAAAGACTTTCTGCAGTTCAGATACATGGTAAAATGGTCCCATTTTCCACCCTGGCAATCAGCCACAGAGAACTCCAAATCCTGACCAGCTGTGTGCTCCTGCACCTGTTTGCTTCAGTACTTATTGAAGAAAAGAGAATGAATTTCCAATTTTATTCCCTTTGCCAATATCAGAGAGGTAAGTCACAGGATAATCTAATTATTCACTGAAAGTCCTACTGATTTTCATCTGGTACTGAGCTGCTGTTGACAACACTGATTCCCTGTCAAGGGAAGTTCGAAAGCATTTGTTTACCCAGCAACGTCCAACAGCTCTCTCCAGGGCCTCATCTTTATATAATATAGCTCACATCTTCAAGAGCGTGGGAGCATCTTTTGGCTTTATTTATCACTTTTGCAAGATTTCTGTTGAACCTGCCACTAATGACAGTGATGAGCTGGCTAAACTGTTTAAGTTTATTTATGAACACTTACTCCACACATAAACGTAGTGTCTCTCCCAAGATCCAGGTGACATCTGACTATAAAAAACTACCTCAGTTTGGGGGCACCTTTATTCTAGGATATTTCTGAAATTAAAGGGCTATTCCAGAGATTGACAAATACAGAGATATTCTCATTATATCATTAGACTGAAGAGTTAAACAATTTAAGGACTACTACTGACTCCAGCCAGAAACCTCCTACTGCAAGCGGCTGTATTACCAGGAAATCAGTCAGGGCTTAGGACTTTGTTTCCCCATGTACATAAAACCATACTGTATAGGTACTAAATTCTGCTTTCAATTTCACCAACATAACCATGGAATGACTCCAGCAAGCTGTATAACTCGGAACAGAAATTGCTCACCTGTATTTATTGCAAGGGCCATTACACATAGACATATTATGGTGGTTTTTAAGGGATCATATATATTTTTACTAGATTACATTTATGATTGTGAAGCTATCACTACTTCATTATTGAAATACAGCCAAACATAGAGAAGGACTGTGTGAGAGTGACCAGCAAGATTTTACCACAGAATTGAAGAAAAGAACAATTATGTATCCATTTCTTGAACTGTGACATGTACATCATCGAGACATATTTAAAGCTACCTATAAAGCAAATTTGAGAAAAGCTGCCCAGAAATCTTCTCTTTACAATAATAATTTAAAATTAACAATAACTTTAGACTTGAAAAACTTGGAGAAATAGTCTGGTTTTCAAAACAGAACTAAACCATTTTTCTTTCCATTTTAATTTTCAGAAAACAACTTATTTTGAAAGCAAACCAGTTCATTTTGAAGACATTTGAAATTCAAGATATTTGAAATATTTTCCCATAGTCTTTTTAACTTTGAATTTCCCAATCCAAAGTGAAAATCAGTCTGGTGTATTTTTTTAAAATTTCTTAAAGGTGATGTTCTACAAATAAGTATGTGCATGTTTGAGCCCCTGTCAAAGAAGTTTCCTAATGCTCTAACTCTGAACCAAACTGGCGAGTGCAGTTCCACTGAAGTCCACAGTGTCTCTAACGTCAAAAGCAGCTCAGTTTGATCTGAAGTCTTTCTTTTCACCAAATACTAATAGTCCAAGACCAAAACTGGATATTAAGAGCTAAACAAAATCCATGACATTGTTCTTACCATCAGAGTCCTCCTGCTGAGGGTTGTATCTGAGCCGACAATTGTCCCTGTCATCTGGGACACCATCATTGTCATCATCAGGATCACAGGCATCTCCTTTACCATCTTTATCATGGTCAGCCTGATTAGCATTGGGGATGTAAGGACAGTTATCTTGGTTGTTCTGGTGGCCATCTTCATCTATGTCCTCATTGTTGTCACACTGATCACCAACAAGGTCATTGTCTGCATCAGTCTACCAAAAAAAAAAAAAAAAGTAAATTTATTATTGTTACAAAAGCACAGATAGCCTAGTACTTAATTTTTCAACATTTCTCTTCAAGGACTTCTCTGGAGACAAGTGATATCATGATGACAACCATGGTTAAAGCAGAAACATAACTTCAAACTAGCATAGCTACTTATTCTGCCATCAGTGCATAAGATCTGGTTGTCAAGATATTTTCAGGGCAGGTTTTTGGCCATGATCTTAATTGCTCTCATTTTAGAGATCACATGGGAGTTGCAGTCTGGAAAGCACATTTTCTGATTGTTTCTGTATGCTTGATGTTACTTATCTGGGCAGGGACCAAAAATCTCAGGCATACCAAATGCAGCCCCAAGGCTGTTGTCACTTGCCATGGGGAAAAATACAAGTTCACCAAAGCCTTGAAGATGGATTAAAGATGTCATCATTCTACTTCTCTTCCAACTGATACAAAGAAATAAGATAACCTGAGAAGTGAAAATGAGCAATAGAGATCCACCTCTTGAGCTCTACAGCAAACAGGGACTGATAGCAATTCCCGTCTTCTTTTTTCTGCCTTTGTTCTGACATTACCATTAAGGAAACTGTCTTTTAACATTTACCTGGTCTGGATTATGCATCAATGGACAATTATCACACTGATCACCAACTCCATCACCATCTGTATCACTCTGGTCTGTGTTATAGACGTAAGGACAATTATCTCGTTCATTAAAAATGTCTATGAGGAAAAAAAGCAACAAAAGATCAAAGAAATCAGAATGATACACCATCCAGCACAGACAGCCATAGACTACAGGAGTAAAGAAGCAAGGCTCTTAAGGGGCTGATTGGTTTTATGATTGCTACAATGTGAAACAGTGAAAAGATTAATATTAGAAAAAATGACAGTATCAATTCCAGTTTTCTTACTATTTCAACAGGTATTTTTCTAAGGGATTTTCCTGATTATGTCTTAAGAATTTAAGCCTTTTTCATAGAATAACAGATAAAGGGGTGGGGTATTTTTCTTTATAAATAATTTGATTTTAATTTTCTCCCCAGACACTTTAAGGAATGCCATAGAGTGCACAGCTATAACACAGTGCAATTTCCAAAGAGTTTTGTATAGGAACAACTGCATTAATGTTCAGCTGTCTCAGCACTAAATAATTTCATTTTACTAGAAAATGTGCATCATTTATTGTACAACATGCCAAATTTTCAAAAGAAACTGTTCCCCCTCAGGAAACTTTATTATATAACCAATAATCTCCTTCAAAATTATAATATGTTGAAAAGAAAAAAAATATGTTGGCATAGCTGTCTGGAAAGGATACAAGTACTCTCTCCTACATTATATGGTCCCTGGATATTTGCATAATCTTTCAGCCAACAGCATATGATTGCACTTTTCTTCAAAGGCAAAACTCCGTCAGTACTACTAAGAACCTGATGATCAGAAGGATGAGAGGACTTCAAAATGTTCTGAAGTTCAAGTCAGATAAGCATCCAAAAGTTTAAAACTGAAGGAAATCCAAAACTAGATTCTTCAACTTCTTGTCCTTCTGGATTCTCATAAATTTGAAATGCAAGGATAAGACTTTTTGAAAGACATTTAAGTGCTTTCCCCCCTCCTTAATTCTGATTAAATCTCAGTCATAAAATTTTAAGATACAAAAAACGTCTATTTGAATTACTGTAGGCTTTGCAGTATGTTCATAGAAAAGCAGATTAATTTCCTACAGATACTGTCCTAACCACACAGATGTTCTGATGTTCTTTTCCCTCCTTAAAAATGAAGGAAAAAAAAAAGTCAACAGAAAAATTATATTAGGCCCTGATTACTTTGGAACACAGGTGAAAGAAATTTTTTTAAGATTACACTGATAAAAGACTTGCTGTGATTTATTCTTCTAATAATATCCACTGCAGTCATTTAGGGACTTTGAAAACAATTACACTTAACAGGACAGAAGAACCTCAGTCATCTCTTTCTTCTGAATTTTTGAGCAGTTAGACTCAATTTTATTCTGTGTATAAAAGCAGGTAGCCCATCTTACTGGACATAAAGCAAAGTGTACTTGCAGAAGAGCACTTAATTCTCACAACTGAAAGCATACCATCTCCGTCAATATCCACAGCACATGAGTCACCCTCCCCATTATTATCTGTGTCAATCTGAGCAGGGTTGTGTACGTAGGGGCAATTATCACAGCGGTCACCAACTTCATCCTTGTCATAATCAAACTGACGAGGGTTGAATAGAAGAGGGCAGTTGTCCTAGTAAGAAGAAATAAAACATTTCAGAATATAAAGCATAACTCATGAGAGCATACTATGAAGTGGTAGGTCTTCCTGTTCATCCATCAAAACATTAATCCATTATTTTTTCAAGAGACAAGCTGTACCTACACTGAAGATCTTGGTGGTAACAGGATGGCATCAGCACAGCCTGGCTCACTGTCTGTTTTTGTCTTTTTGTACAAGGGATTCCGTATCTCACTACAAGAGCAACAGGCACTTTAAATTGGATCTGTACTCCAATATCTCAACAAAAGTGTATCACTCTACCATGCACTTTTTTAAAAAACAAAACAAAACAAAACAGAATGCGGTTTAAAATCAGGCCAACTTCACCTACATATTATATTTTTTTGGAAAAAAAAAATAGAATTGCTATTCTGACTTTTTGGAACAAACTATAATCAATATTTTCACTTTTACACCCCATATTTGATTTTTCAACTTAAACAAGGATTGACTTTTTTTTGTGGGTTGTGTTATATTGCGTATGATAATGAAATGTAAAGAGTTTCAAAAAGCAAAGTTAAAATGAAATACTCTCATTGACCCAAAATATTTTTTTTGCCCCTCAGACTGCTCCTTTTAGGGGAATTTTGAAAGTTTCATTTCAGTTTAGTCCCTAATTTGAAAGTCTGCCAGAACAACAATTCTTAGGTTTCACACATCCCCAAATTACACATGGACTTCTGCACAGACATGAGGAAGTACTCAGTGTAGAAAGCAGAGAAGGAAACCAAACCAAAGCAGTGGGCAGAGGGCTATATCAGCATCATGGAATCTGAAGTGAGGTCACTTGATAAAAATCTTTAAACTACTTTTTCTCTGCTAAAGCAAAAACCATTTACTAGGAAATATTTTTTTGAGCCCAACATTTTAAATTCCTTAGAAATACAGTTTATATACTCAAGGACAAGATAGAGGCAAGTCACAATTTTATACTGCTCATAAAACTGAACTTCTGACTACGTTTTTTCCAAATATGTGGCCTAAATCGTATTATTTTATCAAGTTATTCTTTGGTTTTTGAAATATTCTAAGCAGAGACTCCATAAACACAGTTCTAACCCAGCTTTAACTACTTGAAGCTCTAGAGCATATAAGGTCTCTCTGAAGGGAACAAAGAGGAAGAGTAAATTCCTAAAACCAATTCACTCATCCTAAACATGTTCAGAAAAGGCAGGGTGAATCCCACTCTGGAGGTGCCTCTGTCCTTTTGCTGAATGTACAGGGAGAACAGGTTTAGACTAATTGCCTATCTTTTAGGGTCTGCAGGTAAAAGAATTTCAGTCTTGTGGGTAGATCTAAAGGAGAAAAGTATGAATCAGGCTATTTACTTTCCTGTTGTAATTTCCTTTTGATGCCGACTGTGTTTATAGTTATTATTATTCACCGTAACTTGTTTCTAACATACCTCAGATATAATATCTACCAGCTTTTCAAATACAATGGACCTATCATTCTGCCATTGCAAAATAAAAAACTCAAACCCACCTTCCATTCAACTGTTTTAATGCACACAACCGAACCCAGAACTGATACAGAGAACATAATTCAGCCCCAGGTTCCCCAGGCTGCTTTGCTCTGCACAGTGCTACGTTCCTTTGACCCAACACAGCTTTACTCTGCACCAGAAATCATTCAGGGAAGGCAGTGCAGAACAACACAGCTGAAGCTCTGAACAGTAAAGCTCTCCTCTCCTCTATTGTAATAGTTTTCCTTAAAACCAGGTATTTAGGTCAAATGTAGAAGACGCAGAAATGCATCTTACTTTGTCATCTTCAACACCATCATTGTCATCATCCTCATCACAGGCATCTCCTTTGCCATCTTTATCAAAGTCTTCTTGGCCAGAGTTAGGCAGAAGAGGGCAGTTATCCTGGCCAAAAGAAATAATCAATACATTATGTTTACATTATGTCAAAATGACTTGCCAGAGTAGAAGAGTAGATATGGTACACCAGGGGCTATAAAACAAGAACAATCAATCACAAATACTTCTTTAAAGTGCCTGTTTGTTTGCTGCCAAAGATAGTAGTTCATTTGCTGCTTTCATACTGTAAAGTAAGTGAAATGCAACTGCAAATCATTGTTTCCCAGCTCTCCTTCTGTTCAAGGGATGTTTCCATTAAGTTTTAGATGAAACTATCTAGCACAGAACAAACACCACATGCATACACATACACTCTTACATCAACTTTTTATAGACAACTCATGAAGTATGTTTGAAGATTACATATAAAATGACTGGATTTTCTTGCCAGAAAAATAATGACAGAAGCCAGGAGACAGTCTTCAGAAATAGTTGTTCTTATGGTAAATTACTGGAATTAAGTAGCACACAGCAACAAAGGGGAACACTGCAAGAAAGGGTTTTGAAAAACATGCCTTTATACTCTTCTGCAAAACAGTCCCTTTGCACTCCCCTGCTCTCATTGCTTTGAAAATAAAAGGTAAATGTATCTCTTTATTTTGCATCACAGCTTTGTAAAGAATTATTGTTTTAAATGAGCAAGTCTTAGGTTACACCGAAAAAAATAAGTGAAGTAGTTTGCCAAAATTTCAACATGTATTCCTTTTTCAAACACTAAAATCAGTTAGAAATGGACTGCAATTCTACCACTGCATAAGAATAAATACATTTATAAAAACCCACTGTTATTCTTACATTCTGTATCTACCTCACACCAAAACTGAATCTGCCAGAGTGCAGAAACATCTTCCTTTTTTTTTTGTAACACATACCCTAACAAAGAATATTATAGTAAGATTCCTAGCCCTGTTTTCAATCTCAGTGGTTCTAATAGTATAGATAATTTAAGAAAAAGAGAATTGGAAAATTTGTGATAAATATCAAAACCCCAATGCAACTCCAAGTTTTTTATGGCACTTTTTACCAAATACCTGTAAACAGCCTTTACTGTCCAACTCAGTGGTTACCAGTGATACAAAAAAAAAAAAAAACCAAATCTGAAGTAATGAAAGAAATTAGTCAAAGCTTGCTCAAGCACTTTGTATGTTTGTATCTACATATCTGTCTGTCTGTTTATATTCTCTATAGATTTGAGTTCAATTTAATATAAATCTAATAGTAAGGTAGAGACCTCATAGGTAGCAAGTTCCTATAAACTTTGCAAAAAGAGGTAGTGGAGAGAGATTCTACCAGTGCACTCTAAAAGCCTCTTATTGGTATTAGAAAGAGGACTTATTAGACAACACACCTTCCACTTGGTAACTCAACCTTAAGGCACAAGCCCACTGGAAGCTAGGCTTCTTTGGTTCACCTATTGACAAATTTGTGTGCTGGTATGATAATTCTTATAAAAAAAATGCTACTTTCAAGTGAATGAAGAAGAAATTTACACTAAGAGATACTAAGATTTTATTTTTATTATTTACAACTACTTGCTTTATTGATACAGCTTTGCTTAGACAGTAAGTTAATTTTCAACTATTATCAGCTCAAGGAAAGAAGCTTTGGCTTGCTTTTCAAAAAATCAAATTATTCAACTAGGATATTTCATAATGAATATAAGGACCTGATGTGGTATTTTTAAGGGGTTTTGTGGGTTTTTTCCCCTTAAATGAAAGGCTTGTGTCTATTAGATCAACACATGTATTATAGAAACCACGTTTTTTTCTAAATGGGTTCAGCATGTTGGGTTTTTAATCATTTGCATTACATTTTGAGTCAACATGTTGCAGATTCTGATGACAGGAACGAAAAAAGAATATATGAAATGCAATTGCTGAATTGGCTGGATCCACAATAAAGAGACATCAGCTACAGTTAGGAATGTTTAAGGCTCAGTTCAATGTTTGAGGCTCAAATTTCCACCATTGTCTGAAACTCTTCTGCTGATAAAGGCCAGACTTGTAACTTCAACTGGATTACACCTGAGTGACTTCTGATTCTCTCAAACTGAGAGTCTGATTTCAAACTTTCCTAGTCTCTTGATCCATACTTGGGTTTTTTTAACCACTGTAGTGGTCTAGAACTCAATCGCTTTTGCATTTCTTTCCTCATTACTTAATCTGAAGTTATTGTGCTAGAACTTCATGTCAGTTTAGAGGTAGATAGCTTTAACTTGGAGAAGGAGAAACCAAAATGTTTCAGGTCTGGGGGAAAAAAAAACCAAAAACCTCAGGAGAGAAAGCACTGACTTCATAACCATGACTGATTCAGCAAAATACTTAAGCACATACCCTAGTGAAAGCAAGTAGGTAATCTAGTGTTGTCAGTGGTCCCATGGGTAGGGATTTAAAACTAAGCACTTGCTTATGCCTTCTGCTCAGGTAAAGCTCACTTCATCCCAATTGCTTAATTTGTTGCTGCACACAGAGTGTGCCCCTCTATTGTGCCTGTCACTCAGCCATCAATGAGTCCACCACTCAGAAATGGGATCCAGGGAATTACCTGTCAGAAGGTGCCTTCACCCCTCAGTTATTTGGGCCATTGTTAAACTGGTGGACCTGAAACAACTTTCAGCCTGGTTTTTCACAGTAGTGTAACTGCATCAGGAGAAGACATCCAAGCTTGTTTTTGAGCAATTTCTACTGGAAGGAACCTCAGGCCATGGAGCTGAGGAAGACTTATAGTGTGCTTCAGATGAGCATAGAACCAGGTCCCAGGGAACACACCATGGCAGGCATCCACTGCTAAACCTACACATCACCATTTTTATGCTCTGATGCTTATTTTCTTCTTGGTGTAGTAATGTTTCATCTTTCATTACAATGGCACAGTCACTGCAGCAAGGGTGGAGACCCTGCCAGGTCTAGTGCCAATGATGGAAGGCAAGTAATTCACCTCAGGAGGGTAAGAGCTGGGACTCCACAACTCTGAAGAGTAAGAGAGGCTGAATCTCCCATCCTCTCCCACTGAGCTTCTGCAATAAGGAGAACCCCTCTATCTACTTACTCATTTATTCCTCTCATAGGTTCCTATTGTCAAAATTATGTCAGGCTCTGAATGCAGTTTTCAGTGTGGGACCTGTTTAATTGTTTAAAAGATCTTACATGGTTGTCAGTGTCTTGTTACAAGCCTTGCAGGTAGGATTTCATACTCAACTGTGCCCAGAGATTCCTGTTTAGTTATCACTAGCTGTGTGCTCCACACTGCTGCTTGGTGTGCTAACTCTGTTCCCAAGCATCTCAACCTTCTGTGTACACTGAGCAGAGGACTCTGGATTTCATTTTGAGATCCCCTACTGGATCTAGTGTTAATCACAGAATAACACAGAATCACAGACTGTTAGGGATTGGAAGGGACCTTGAAAGATCATCTAGTCCAATCCCCCTGCCGGAGCAGGAACCTAAATGAGACTACACAGGAAGGTGTCCAGGAGGTTTTTGAATGTCTCCAGAGAAGGAGACTCCACAACCTCCCTGGGCAGCCTGTTCCAGTGCTCTGTCACCCTCACTGTAATGAAGTTTCTTCTCAAGTTTAAGCGGAGCCTCCTGTGTTCCAGCTTACACCCACTGCCCCTTGTCCTACCATTGGACATCACTGAGAAGAGCCTGGCTCCATCCTCGTGACACTCGCCCTTTACATATTTATAAACATTAATGAGGTCACAAGTGTATACACATTTCACAGCATCTCCTAGAAAATGAGCATGCTGAACAGTCAAAGCTTAATGAAAGCAACTATCAGCTCAATG